CCCCCCACCCAGTATCACAGATTTAGCATCAGAAGTTCTCCAATGAGCCCGGTCACTGCCTACCACACAGTCACTACCTGGGCTCTCAAAAACACCTCCTGTCCTGGAAGCTGAGAGTACACAGATCTGTTGAACGTGATTTCAGCCACACTCACAATAAATACGTTCTTCTGCAATGTCTACAAAAGAGAGCAGGAGAGCTGGGAACTAGCTCTGGGAAAGGCTCAGAGTCAGATAAATGTCCTAGCATGAGGATAGGCACAGATTTATCAGGTACCACCTGAGTCTGGGGGAGGGACTCTGCTTTTGGGCCTATGCACCTGGCTGATCCAGCCAAAGCTGAGGTTGCCCTTCAGGATGAAGTCAAGTTCCTCTTGGATGCCGAAGGAGGGTATGTCACAGCGGAACCTCAGGCAGTCAGCAATGGAGCAGTCCTAGGGACCGAGAAGAAGCATCAGTCCAGAGAAAATGGGTTGGAAGGCAGAGGACAGTATTAAATTGTCAGATTTAAGGGGAGCAGCCACATCCGAATTTAAGAAGGCTGTTCAACAGACATCCATCTAAATATAACACATATTCCTGAATTAAATTTCTCTGAGGTGTGACTTAAAGTGGGGGACAGCCCAGAATCCTCCTCACCAGCACAGGATTCTTCTGAATGTGGGTCATGAAGCTGGACTCTGTGGGCACTGTTCTCTCTGAAGAGCACTGAATAGATGGGTTCTAGGAAAAGACAGAGAGAGAAAGGATCTCAATGTGGACATCAAAGATTCATGAGGAACACAGGAAATCAAGGTAAAGGACATTACACAGTCTGAGTACCTGGGGGGAGAAGACTTCTATCTCTTTCCAAACAGTCACCTGGTTCAGTTCCACAGGCACCAAGAAGTTGACGCTTATGGAAAGACCTCTCTGTCCCAGGTTGTTCACCTGCAAAGAGGGTAATAAGGGCAAAGATCATGACAAACTCCACATGCCTCCCTAATTTCTGGCTCCTGGACTACTGCTCTAGCCCATGTTCTCGAGTCACCATCACTGGCCTGGTATCTATGTTGGACCATGCTGCTTTCTTCCTCCTCTGAGGTCGAGAAGTTGAGGTACTTAGTGGATCCTTCATGGCTGGAGAGAGAAGAGATTCGGGTGGCTTTAAAGTTACATGGGCAAATTGGTGCAGCCACTATGGAAAAGAATATGGACGTTCCTCAAAAAACTAAGAATTGATCTAACCATATGATCCAGCAATCCCCTCTACTGGGGATTGAAAACCCATATCCAAAAAGAAATTGGCACACA